CGAGCAGCAGCATCTCCTCGTCAGCAGTCCAGTCCTCATGCACGAGAGGGAAGCTCATGGTGTCCTGGTGCGGTTGGTGGTGCGGTTGGTGGCACGGTTGGTGGAGCGGTTGGTGGTGCGGTTGGTTGTGCGGTTGGTGGTGCGGTTGGTGGTGCGGTTGGTGGTGCGGTTGGTGGTGCGGTTGGTGGTGCGGTTGGTGGTGCGGTTGGTGGTGCACAGTCAGAGTGGTGCACGGTCAGAGTGGTGCACAGTCAGAATGCGTTCATGCAAAGTTAACGCATGTCAAATTGGTCGGGAGCAGGAGAACATGAAATGATGAAAACACGAGCCTGATGGACCAATTGGATAAGAGAGAGTGCTGAACAAAGTGAGGGGAACTGGAAAGGTGGACAAACTGGGAGTGGGAAGGTGGGCAGACGGGGAGTGAGAAGGTGGACAGACTGGGAGTGGAAAGGTGGGCAGACGGGGAGTGAGAAGGTGGACAGACTGGGAGTGGAAAGGTGGGCAGACGGGGAGTGAGAAGTCCCTGTCTGCCCACCTTTCCACTCCAAGTCTGCCCACTTTCCCACTCCCTGTCTGCCCACCTTTCCTCTTCCAGTCTGCCCACCTTCCCATTCCCCGTCTGCCCACCTTTTCTCTTCCCGTCTGCCCGTCTTTCCCCCTTCCCCCTCCCCTTCCCTCTTTCCCCATCCCCTCCCTAAACCCTCTCCTCCCTCTCTTGTGAATCCCATGCCCCTTACCACGCTCGCTTCAACTTCCCACCCCCCCTCTCTCCCTCCCCTCCCCCTCCCCCTCCCCCTCCCCCTCCCCACCCCCCTCACCCTCCTCCCCCTCCCCTCCCCCTCCCCCTCCCCCTTCCCCTCCCCCTCCCCCTCCCCTTACCCTTCTCCCTCTCCCTCTCCCTCGCACTCCCCCTCCCCCTCCCCCTCCTCCCCCTCCCCTCTCCTGCTCACGTGATGTGGTAGGGGTGGGAGGAAGAGTGGGGGTAAGGAGCAGCGCCTTTCCCTTTCCCCCTCCCTTTCCATCACCCTCCTCCTCCCCCTTCTCCCCCGTCCCTTCTCCACACTCACCATAACGTGATACGGGTGGGAGGCAGAGTGGGGGTGAGCAGCAGCGCCCACGGAGAAGCATTCAGCGCAGAGGTCAAAGTCCACACACGCCGCACACTTCACCCTCTCTCCATACCCATCCCCCTCCCCCTCCCCCTTCCTCCACCCACTCATTATGACATGATAAGGGTGCGAGGCGGCATAAGGATGAGCAGCGGCGCCCATGGAGAAGCATTCAGCGCAGAGGTCAAAGTCAACACACACCGCACACTTCACGCGCACCTCCCTCCTCCCTTTCCCCTCCTTCTCCCCCTTCCCTCTCCCCTGCCCCCTGCCCCTGCCCCTCCCCTCCAGCCACTCACCATGACATGGTAGGGGTGCGAGGCGGAGTGCGGGTGGGCAGCGGCACCCACGGAGAAGCATTCAGCGCAGAGGTCAAAGTCCACACACGCCGCACACTTCACTCGCACCTCCCCCGTCACATCCCTGTGGCAGTAGTTGCAGTGATACACGCCCTTCCGCGCGCCCCCCCCTGTTCCCCCCGCTCCCCCGCCTCCCCCCGATCCCCCCCTGCCCCCTGCTGCTGCGCCTGCGCCTTCCCCCCCCGCTCCAGCGCCTCCCCCCCCGCTGCTACCTCCCCCCACGGCGTCCTGCCAGCTTGTGGTGGCATAGCGGCGGCGCTTTGGTCTGGGGGAAGGGGAAGGGGAGGGGGAAGGGGAGGGGAGAGGGAAGGGGAGGGGAGAGGGAAGGGGAGGGGAGAGGGAAGGGGAGGTGGAAGCTGGAGTTAGGAAATAAACGGGGGAAAGGAATGGTTGAGGGGGCAAGATGCGTCCCCCTCCCCCTCAGCTCCTTCCTCCCCCGCGGCGTCTTGCCAACTCGTGGTGGCATAGCGGCGGCGCTTTGGTCTGCGGAAGGAAAAGGCCACGGGGGGAAGGGGGGAAAGGGGATTTTGGGGAGGAAATTGGCGATGCGAGGGGGAAAATCTCCCCCCGCTGCTGCCCTCCCCCCACGGCGTCCTGCCAGCTTGTGGTGGCATAGCGGCGACGCTTTGGTCTGGGGGAAGGGAAGGGGAAGGGGAAAGGGAAGAGGAAGGGGAGGGGGAAGGGGAAGGGGAGGGGAGGGGGCATGGGAGTCTTGAGGGTTTGGGGAGGAAGGGGGAAGCGGGAAAAAGGGGAGGTGAGGGGTCGAAAGGAAAGATGCACTTTACCCCCTGCTCCCCCCGCCCACAGCATCCTGCCAGCAACATACCATCCACCGCACACAGCACCCCTCACCTGGAACCCTTCCGTACTTATATTCCCCATTAGCTCAACCGTTACTAGCACCAGCAACACACAGCACCCCTCACCTGGAACCCCCACTAGGAGTGTGATCCTCCTCCTTGTCTCCCCTATTAGCTGATCCGTTAATCGCACCAGCAACATACCATCCACCGCACAGAGCACCCCCTCACCTCGAGCCCCCACTAGGGGCGTGGTCCTCCTCCCCGGCTCCCCTCGACCGACCCATTGGACCCGAGCCTCACAGTCAGAGGCTTGGAAACTTGGGAGGTTCGGAGACTACAAGGCTCGGAATAGAAGACTTTGAGATGAGGAAACTCAGAAACTCAAAGACGTCGCAGGATTCACGGTCGCCGATTCGAGAGTCAGCGAAACGATGAACGATTTCAATCGCGGATTCGATTCGGCTGTTTTCGCCACCGTCTGAACGAACCCCGTAACTAAATTAGTTGCACGTAGGAATGCAGACAGCAAGTCGGTACTACCTATAACATCGGAGGACTCTTAGGCAGTCTGGTGCTGGGACGGAGGAGTACACGGTAAGCTAGTTGTCGCTCGAAGATAACCAGATATCAGCGGCGACGGCGAACCGATAGGCTGGTAGTGGTAACCACTGGGTAACCACCAGGTACCAAATGGTTATGATTTACACGAAATGTTGCGAATTGAGAGGTAATTGTATCTTGCGCAGTGCAACGGTGATACGAGCTTGTGACTGTAATGACAGGTCAATACCTCACAGCGAAGCTATGGAACTAAGCGCGACGCGAGAAGAGGGCATCGCGATGGCGGCCTCGTCGAAAGAAAGAAAATGCCCACATGCGGATACAATCAGCGCGCGTTAGCGCAACATGCGGGCAGCCATGGCGGTTTTGGCGGGAAAGATTGCTGAAGCGTCACCAGTTGCGATTCGCTATAAAAAGCTTTGAATACAAAAGTGGCTTTTACACGAATTTTCAAGTGAAGATTTCACCAACCCTTCGAGGTATAGAATATCTTGCTCTCCTTGTATTGTATACAAAGTGCTCTCCATTTGTTACATCTGTGTAATCAAATGGATGAATGCAATACACGATTATGGCACTCACTCTTCGTTTCACCATATGGCACAACGCATAATGCCACCTGTACTGTTACAATTCTTTGTTACGTCATCATTTCCTGTAGCTAACATCTCATTCCATGTGTACGGCACTCCAGGCACACAAAAGTGACTGCAATCTTCCTTTTTTGTCTCCCCCACACGCATTTCTGCAGGGAGGGAAGAGCCCACATGAGCATCAACACGAGCATCGGTTAACCCCCCTGCTTGCAGCAACACAACCCTGTCTCCCATCCCAATCTCCCTCTCAACCACCCTTTCCATCTGCCCCACACTCGACTGCACCCACTCCCTCCTCCTTTCCCTCCTCTCCCTCTCCTGCCGCCACCGCCACCGCTGCCACCGTTGCTGGTGTGCGTGCTCCTCCCCTCCCTCTTCCAACCACTCTCTCGGCCTCGAAAACAAGTTACACTGTCCGTTTTCTTTACATGTGGCGTCGTCTGGTAGGCAGAGCGAGGTATGGTTGCCCTGGTCTGCCCGGAAATAATGTTCTCGGGGCAGCCCGAGAAAGAAAGTTGGGAGGGATTCGGCGGTGGGTTGGGAGGAGAGGAAATGGTGGAGCATGCGGAGGGTCTTGGTGAATGCTGATACCGGGTCAAGAAAGTCAACCGAGGCAAGCAGATCAGGTGGAATCACACAAGGCTCTCCAGGTGGAAGGGTCTTGGTGAAAGCTGCTACCGGGTCAAGAAAGTCAACCGAGTCAAGCAGGTTAGGTGGGAGCACACTAGGCCCTCCAGGTGACTCATCCTCCTTATTAGCAGCCTCGTGATGCACATCCTCCCCACGAACTTCCTCGTCATTCTCTGCACCTGTAACAACATGAGATTCGTTATCCTTCTCCTGCACTGGATCCTCTTTCGCCGCTTCACCCTCCTCATCAAACGTAACTTGATTGACTGAAGGCATCACTTCTCCTTCTGAGAGTCTACCTTCAGACATCTCCTCTTGGACTTGGTCACCTTTGTCCGCCATGACACTACCGCCCTGCTGCTGCTGCTCCGGCACTTCATCATTTTCCACCGCCCTATCCTCATCAAGGAAGCTGCCCCGACCGACTGAAGAGCTCGCTTCGGACATTTCCTCTAGGACTATGTCAGCTTCATCCGCCATAAAGCTTCCGCCTGTCTGCTGCTCCCCCTCTAATCTCACATCACCTTCCTCCAATTTCGATCCACCCACTGCCTCACCTGAACCCCCCTCCGCTGCATCTGATCCGTCCATGCTACCAAGGGACCCTGCTTCATCCGCACAGTCCATTCCATCAAGTATCGACATGTTGCCTGCACTCGCAGGTGAGTCAACATGTGGCATGGGAGTCAGAATCAGAGGCATGTGGGAATGAAAAGAACCACTTTCATCGCCTTCCCTATGGACACTCTCTGTGCTTTCTGGGAAGCTCAGCAGGTGCCGGTGCCGCCACAGCCACTTGCCAATCCTCCCCCTCCCCCTCTTACTCCTCTCCCCCCCCTTCCTCCCCTCCTTGTGGCTGTCCCTTGCACCCCCACTGCCGATGTTAGAGGGGTTGATGCTGAGGTTACTAAGACTCTTATTATTGCTGCTCTGGACGTTGCTGGTAGTGCTACCGGGACTGCTGGTAGTGAAACCGTTGCTGGTTGTGCTGTTGCTGCTGTTTGAAACGCTGCTGCCACTGCTGCTACTGTCATTCTCAATACTGTCACCCTGCAGAATGGCATCATCATCACCGAAGTCGCCCATTCGCAACTCCCCTCCTGCAAGCGGATCAGTCTGAGAACCACTGGTGGTGTCCCCTCCTCCTCCTCCACTGGCTGTCTGGCCACCATTATCACCACCCTGCTTCATCACCCCCTCCTCCACTTTTTCCCCAACCTTCTGACGTTTCCCCTCTCCTTGCTTCCCTTGCCCCTTGCCCTGCTTTTTTTTGCCCCTTGCCTTGCTTACCCTGTCCCCCAGACCCAGGCTCCTGCTTTTCCCATCGTCTTCTCTCACCTTCCTTGATTCTTTTTTTACCTCCAGCCTTCCTCAATCTCTCAACCTTCCCTCCTCCTCCCCCTCGTCCACCCGTTTTTTGCACCTCTGCCACAGCCTTGCGTTTCTCCTTTGCCTTATCACCACTGCTCTCCCCTTTCCTTCCTGCTGTCTTCATCGCACTGCCTGCCTGCTTTCCTGCCCCTCCTCCTTTCTGCCCAGCTTTACTATTGTCTCCCAATGCCATCCCACCATTCCCTTTGTTTCCCGCACTCATTTCGTTATCCCCCGCACTGTTCCCCTTTCTTCCCGCACCATTCCCTTTGTTTCCCTGACCGACCTCCTTGCTCCCCCCACCGTTGCCCTGATAGCCCCCGCCATTGCCCTGATTACCACCACCGCTACCTTTGTTTTTCCGACCATCGACTCCATTTCCCCCACTGTTTCCCTTCTTCCCTCCACCATTCCCCTTCTTCCCTCCACCATTCCCCTTCTTCTCCCCACCATTCCCCTTATTCTCTCCACCATTCCCCCTATTCTCCCCGCCATTCCCCCTATTCCCCCCACCATTCCCCTTATTCTCCCCACCATTCCCCCTATTCTCCCCACCATTCCCCCTATTCTCCCCACCATTCCCCCTATTCTCCCCGCCACTCCCCTTCTTCTCCCTGCCACTCCCCTTCTTCTCCCCACCATTCCCCCTCTTCTCCCCACCATTCCCCTTCTTCCCCCCACCCTTTCCCTTTGCCTTTTCACCCATCCCCTTATCCCCCCCGCCATTCCCCCCAGTTCCCCCACCAGCCTCCCCTTTTCCCCCACCAGCCTTCCCCTTTCCCTGACCAACCTCCCCTTTTCCCCCACCAGGCTCCCCATTTCCCCCTCCAGCCTTCCCCTTTCCCCCACCAACCTCCCCTTTTCCCCCACCAGGCTCCCCCTTTCCCCCTCCAGCCTTCCCCTTTCCCCCACCAACCTCCCCTTTTCCCCCACCAGGCTCCCCCTTTCCCCCTCCAGCCTTCCCCTTTCCCCCACCAACCTCCCCTTTTCCCCCACCAGGCTCCCCATTTCCGCCTCCAGCCTTCCCCTTTCCCCCACCAGCCTCCACCTTGCCTTCTGCTCCCAATTTCTCCTCACGCATCCCTCCCTCAACTCCTTTACCAGCCACAGCAGCAAAAACCTTTGATTCATTCGCTGCACTCTGCCCCTCCTGCCCCTCCTGCCCCTTCTGCCCCTCCTCCTGCCCCTCCTGCCCCTTCTGCTCCTCCTGAGAAGCATGTATTGGCGCCCTATGCTCCTGCCATCGCTGCTGCAGCCCCACCCACGCGCCTCCCGTGTGAATCACCAGCACATGCGGCTGTGCTGCCACCACATATGCCGCCCACGCATCCAGCCGCACCACTCTCACCGCTCCCAACCCCTCCGAACTTGGCTTTGCCGCACCTGACCTGTCCGAACCCAGCTCCACCGCATTCAACCCATCCGAACCTGGCTCCTGGGTGGTTTCAGAAGTATCTGTGAGAAGACTTCTGCCAATGCCTGCGTTGCTACTGCTACCGAAGCTAGCAACGATATTGGTGGCAGTAATACTGCTGTTATTGGTGCCCTCAGACATATTCTTGGTCAATAAAGGATTAGGCGTATCTGGAACAGCCATACTAGCAGGAGGTGTGTCCGGGGCAGGTGTATCTGATTGCTCCAGAGCATGTGAAGGGGCGGATTCCAGGACGGTTAGAAAGTCAGAGTGGAAAAAGTCAAGGCTTGTGTTGGCATGAGGGAATGTATACTAGAAGATGAGAGGATCGGGGGAGGGGGCTTTGGAGCCTGCAGAGGAAGCAGCTGAGGAGGGGGAAGAAGAGGAGGAGGATGAGGATAGAAGGGAGGGAGACGAGGAAAGGGGGTGGAGGAGGAAGGGAAAGGTTCGGTTGAGTCGCTCTGTTGGCATGCTGTGATTGGGTGGGAGGGAGGGACCCACGGAGAGCAGGCAGAGCAGCGACTGAAACATCTGCAAGCAAGGGATCGAGGGAGAGAGAAAATAAGAGAGGGGAGTGGAGATGGGCAGGGGTAGATGTTATGGTGGTTAGAGATGAGTGGTGGTGATGGGCAGAGGTCAAAGAGTGAGCTGAAAAGCTGATGGATGGATGGATGGATGGATGGATGGATGAATGGATGGAGCAAAAGAATGAGGGGGAAGGGGAAGGAAACAAACCAGGGACAGAGATTACACTGAAATGGAACATATCGAGAGACATGCAGGGAGTGACCCGCAGAAGCGACTATTGCGGGGCCGCATAGAATCTTGAAATGGACCGTACTGGCAACAGTGTAGAGTCACCCACGAACACGATCCGACGGTTCTGGAAGGCCTCGAAGAAGCAATCCGCTCGGAAGCGAGTGAATGGGTGGGCGCACTCGCTCTCCCTCCAGGCGAAATGCAGATAGTCAAAGTCTGTACGGCCATTCTCCTGCGGTTGGAGATGGGGGTGGGAGAGGGGGGCGGGCGTGAGGGTGAACGGGTGGGCGCACTCGCTCTCTCGCCAAGCAAAGTGGAGATATTTGAAGTCTGTTCGGCCATTCTCTAGGGGGACGGGGGGAGGGGAGAGGGAGGTGGGTGGGTGAATGGGTGGGTGCACTCGTTCTCCCTCCAGGCAAAGCGGAGATAGTCAAAGTCCGTGCAGCTGTTGTCCTGGGGGACGGGGGGGGGGGGGGAGAGAGGCAACGGAAGCGGAGAGGGAAGAGGAGGGGGGGAGTTGGGATGGGGGGGTGGAAGAGGGACGAGGAGAAAAGCAACAAACTAACGACAAAGGGATGCGCTCGCTCTCTCGCCAGGCGAATTGGAGATAGTCAAAGTAGCTGCAAAGCTACCCTCACAAGAATTCAATGACCCACTAGCGCAGGAACGGTCTCCTGCTTCATTCAACGAAACAGATGCCATCTTGAATCAACTCAAGGCTCACTCTCTCTCCTCACCAGACAGTTATACGTACCACTAAGGAACATACACTCTTCTGCTCTGAGTCACAGACAGTTATACGTGCCACTAAGGAACATACACTCTTCTGCTGCCTATCTCACTCACCCTTTTGATACACCCTTTTGATTCTGCTCAGGAGCTCACTCATCCTCCCTCCTCACCAGGCAGTTGAATGTGCCACTAATGAAGGGACAGTCTTCTGCTGCGTACAACGGATATCCCTCCCTCTCCATCTGCGAATCCCCTCTCCCCAGCTCACACACCCCCTCTCCCCTCCTCGGCCTCCACACCTCCCCCTTTCTCACTCCCCACCCACTCCCCCCCACAATCCCTCCTACTTTCCCTCCTCCTTCTCCTCCGCTTCCTTGTCCTTTCTCCCCTGCAGCAGCTGAAAGCGCCTTAACGGGGGTGTGATTGAAGCTAAGGGCGCGGAAGTGCGGATGGGAGGAGGTGGAGAGGTGGAGCATAACCCAGGGCATTATAACGAGGGAGAAGAACATGACAGCACACGTGCTCCAAGCACTCGCCACCACCACCAGCACCCGCAGCACCACCACCGCCGCCTGGGGTAGCCCTTCCTGTAGCCTGCTCACCCAGTGCTTGCGTGCTTGTAACGCAGCCACGGCTGCAGCAGCGCCTGCGGTTGTGATTGTACCGAATGGGTTTTGTTTCCCATTGGCTGCTGCCTGCGTGCTGGTGATTGGGTTTGGGCTGCTCCCTGCCGCCCATCCTGGCGGGAAATTCGCAGTCGAAAGTGTACTGTAGCCGTTTGGGCCTGCTTCCGAGATTATACCGAGGTCTGAGCTTATACCGAGCTCGGATCTTGTAGCGAAGTATCCCGGGCGACGGATAGCCGGGGCTGGGGCGACGGCGGTGCTGCTTCCCTGCGGAGCGATGTGAGGCTGGGGGAGGCTGTGCGCGGGCGAATGGTCCAACACGGCCCTCGGTATAGCCGAGGACAACGGTGATTCTGATTTTGATTCTAAATCTGATGCTGATGCGGACACTGTTGCAGGTTTTGATGCTGATGCTGCCGGCGGAATTCCAATTGCTGATGAAACATCCGCGGATAATGCCGGTGACACGGCTCGCCATGCAACTCCGTCGGATTCCGTCCTTGATGAAATCGTCGCCGTTGAAGCTCCCGTAGCTGGATATCGCGTTCCTGGATCAGAAAAAACATCCGTTACTAGCGTTGCGCCGTTTGCTAATGCGGTTCCTCGTTCCATTGATAAGGTAATCCTAACCGCACGAGGTTCCGTCCTCCGAATCTCAGTTGCATCCAGCTCCTAGCTCCTTCCCATGTGAGAACGAAGCTGGTTTCTTCCCCGTACTGCCACCGCATTTGTGCTGCCTGAGTATCTAATTACATCGTCACAGACTAGGTTGCCGCTTTTCACGCTGCTCGTAGCTCGGAATGTAACGCATGACCTACTCTGCCTAATCTACGGCTAACTTCCTAAGTCAAACATCGAGAGACTTCCTCGATGAGAAATGACGTGAAGGAAATTGGGAAGGTTGAGTTGGAGAAGAACATTGCTTTGGTTTTCCCAACCCTCAACCTGGAGGCTTGGGACTTTCCAACCCAACAAATGTGAAGGTTGGGAAGTTTTCCAATCCAACCAAATGAATGTGCAAGGTTGGATTTCCAACCAATGGGAAGTTGACAGTTGTTGTTACAATCCACACAAAGTTTAAAACAACCATACAATTGTGCTAAGTTGGGTTTTCCCCAACCAAACTAAAGTGCCACATAGGCTCCAAGCCTATTAGCTCCCCAACCATGGAAGCAATGGTTGGGAAGAGCCCCAAGGGGTATGATGGAAGGGGTTGGAGCTTTCAAGCTCATTCCTACTTCCCAACTCCAACTTACCAACTTGGAAATGGGATCTCTCTAAGTTACTTTGGCTCTCCTAACAAGCCCTCTTACACAACTAGACTTGTGTTATTTTCAAGGATAAGCTCTACAAGAAGCTACTTATCTACCCAAGTTTCTTCAATAGCTACAACTTCTCCTCTCAAGATCCTTTAAGCTTAGGCTAAGGCTTGATTATCCCTTGGTGGGATTAATTAGATAATTTCAAGCATTGTAACTTTGATTTTATATAAATTTTCAAGGAGGATTTACATTGAACCCGCAGTTGCCTGTTGTTATAAGGGCCGTGGTTGTTACATTGGTATCTAGAGCTAGGGTTATCCTAAGCCTAGTGGGGATTTTGCCCCTAGAGATTTTTTTTTTTTTTTTAGATCTTAGAGTTGTGATTTCTCTTTAAAGAGAATACTCAAGATCTGGAAGCTTGAAGAGTTCAAGATCTACAATATCTACAACTGCAATTTCAAGCTAAGAAGAGATATTTTTATCTCTCTTGCCCACCTTTTGGTGTAAGACTCTCTACTGTTGAGTAGTGGAGTATAAACTTGGATGTGGAGGATTTGTTGAGGGTTATACAAGTGCTCTTCATTGAGATTTGGATAGACCCTGCCCTTTCACTTGGTGATTTGGAATGCTTGACAACAAATCTGTTACCTTTGGTGACATTGGATTATTCTGTAGAAGAAATTTCTTATATAAGATTTTTTTGCTTTACCATTGAGTTGGTAAAAGGTTTTTAACAGAATCAACCTAGATCTTACGAGCTCCCTTAATCCTTATGGCATCTGGCCAAGAGAAGGATATGGCAAGGGAGGAAGGGCCCACTGCACCTAATGAGGTGGTGAACAATGCTGCTGACATTGACCTCAATCAAGATGAGGCAATGGATGACATTGAGCTGGATGATATTGAGGACTTGGACCTGGACCTTGGAGATGAGCATCACCATGGTGAAGCTGAGAACCATGATGAAGCAGAGAACCATGGTGAAGCTGAGAACCATGGTGAAGCTGAGAACCATGGTGAAGCTGACAACCTTGGGGAAGAGGATAACACCGGTGGAAAGGAGGCCAATGGTGATGAAAATGACTTCACTGAGGGTGAAGGCATGACTTATCCTATTTACGAGGAGATTGTCCAACTCCAGGCTAAGGTGGCAACTCAGAATATCACCATCCTGCAGCAGCAGACGTCCATTGATGGACTCAAGAAGCACACTCGGAACCTCGAGGCTAGGCTGAGCATTACCATGAAGGAGGTTACTGAGTTCCGTCGCAGCCTGGGCACTAAGAACCGTGAAATTGATTGGCTTCAGAAGACTTGCAATAATATGCAAATATAATTCAACAAGCTCAATGAGCAGGTGACCAAACTTAGGAGGGAGGGTATCTACGAACCTCCTCCTGGGCGTAGGCCCGCTCCTGCTGCTCAGTCGGCACCCGCTCCGCCCGCACCCCCAGCGGTAGGCGCCGCGACGGCTATGCATCAGCCACCTCCAACTGAGACCTCGCCCTTTGGGTCTCTCTCGGCGCCTCTGCCTGAGTTTAACCATCGCAAGACGGAGGTGCAGCCTTGGCTTGATCTGGTGAATGAAACCATGATCCTTGCGAATGTGCGTCCTGAGGCTCGCGTTACTGCAGCCACTCGTGCATTGGACGAGGTGGCCCGCAGGGCAGTGTATGGCGCTAAGAAGCAGGCGCATGGATCATTTGGGTGGCCGGAGTTTTGCACCGCGCTGAAAGAGGCATTCATGGTCAAGAAGTCCGACCTGGAACTGCGCGGACGCCTTGAGCATATCAAGTGTCATGACCGTCCGGTGCAGGAATATGCGGTCGAGTTGGAGGCCGCAGCACGCTCGCTCCAGAAGCCCTTGTCTGAGGAGGAGATGATGCACCTCTTTATGAAAGGCCTCCCTGTCAACCTGCAAGAGGCACACATGATCGGCGGCATGACCAATTGGACGACTTACAAAGAGCTGAAGGAGCAGGTGATCAAAACTGACACCGTCATTCGCACATATATCCATGGTCCTGCAAAGGCGGACCAGCAGCCCCGTGCTGAGGGCTCCGGTGGTCGTGGGAACCGGCCCCAGAACGCCAATGGCGGAGGCGGTTCGAATAAGCGACCTTTCCAGCAGCGTGAGCACCAGCCTGGACCACAGGCCAAGAGGGCTAACGGGGGGGGAGGTCATGGCCCTAACAAGCCGGACTTCTCCAAGATGCGGTGTCACGGCTGTGGATTTATTGGACACATCCAAAAGCAGTGCCGTAACAAGAACTAAATCAAGTACTCTGGGAAGCCGAAGCCAGGCGGCGCGGGACCTTCTGGAAAGAAGGATTTTCAGAAGCCCAACTAGGGTGTGGGTACCTAGTCGGAGGAGTAGATCGAGTGGATGAGACATATGTGCTATGTGATGATGATCTATTAAAGCTAGAGAAGCTTGCTGATTGCAAAATCTCTTGTTTGTTTGCCTCTTCTTTTAATAAAAACTCTGTTATTTACCCTCGATCGTACCCACTTGAGAACATCACCATGGCAGCAATGCAAGATAAGTTTTCAATCATTTTCTGTGGCTTGGACATTCTGCCTTCGGTCATTGAGATTGTGAGTCGTTGCACTCAAGAGCACCCCCTGACTTCGGTCGCGTTGGTGACTCGCATAGTGAAAGGCGAATTGTTCCATGCGCTTCGTGGATGGCCGGTCCTAGCGGCGTGGGACAAGGGACACCATGTGTGGTGGACCAACTCTCAGTCACATGGACGCGCTCGTCACAACGTCAAGGTGTACTTCAAACCCTCGACGAGTATTGTGGCATGTCCTATTCGCCCAAAGCATCAACAAAATTTGTTGCTTGCGGGTAGCGTGAACGGGGAAAACGCAAAAATCCTTGTTGACACGGGTGCAACTGTTTCCCTCTTTGACGAAAAGTGGGCCACAGCACGCACGATCCTCGTTGAAGGGCCGTCTTGCCCCATTCGCCTTGGTGATGATAGTATTATCCCAAGCAAAGGGCAGACACGGATCAACATGGATATTGAGGGTTATCACGAAGAAATTTGCGCGTATGTTTTACCCCTTCTCGCAGGCGTCGACCTTGTCCTTGGAATGGATTGGCTTCGAGCGAATGAAGTCAAGCTCGATTTCCAGGACAATACTGTCTCATTCTCAAAGAATGGTGACACAGTCCAATGGCAAGTGCCTAACGACTTGATCACAAACGAACAACAAACGTCGGAGCGTCCCGATGTGAGTTTTGCGCTCGTAAACGAGTTCGGACAGCATGTTCGACAAGCCGATACCTTCTTTGTGGTACAGCTTGAGAATGCTGAACACGAGATGCCTGGGGTCAGATGAGAGCACTGGCGGACGAGTTTGCAAAGGTTTTTGAGCCCATCCCAGATGGCCTTCCTCCAGACCGTGTTGTCGGTCACACCATCCCAGTGGAGCCTGGAAAGCTCCCACCGTTTAGACCTCTGTATCGCCTCAGTCCATCTGAGTACGAGGAGGCTAAACAACAAATTGAGGAGTACCTCAGGAAGGGATGGATTGAACCAAGCGCATCACCTTACGGAGCGCCGATCTTGTTCGTGAACAAAAAGGGCGGAGGGTTACGCATGTGCGTAGACTACCGTGCTCTGAACAAGATAACGGTGAAGAACAGGTATCCCCTACCGAGAATAGAGGACCTGTTCGACAAACTCCAGGGTGCCCAGTGGTTCAGCGCATTGGACCTCGCACAAGGGTATCACCAATTGCGCATCACTGAAGAAGATGTACCCAAGACGGCTTTCCGATCGCCGTTTGGTCATTTTCAGTGGCGAGTGCTGAGCTTTGGCTTGACCAATGCTCCTGCATCTTTTCAAAGAGCTATGAATGATGTCTTTCGCGAGGCGATTGGACAGTTCGTTCTAGTCTATCTGGATGACATCTTGGTTTATTCCAAGACGGAAGAGGAGCACACGCGACACCTTAAATGGGTGTTAGGGAAACTCCGAGAGCATAAGTTCTATGCTCGCCTATGGAAATGTCATTTCTACAAACGCGAGTTGGAATATCTTGGCCATCTCGTGGGAAATGATGGTCGCAATCCAAAACTGGCCGGTGCCACAAGATGTGGGTCAAATCAGGTCGTTTTTAGGACTGGCGAACTATTTTCGTCGATTTTTGCAGAATTATTCTACCGTTGTTGCTCCATTGACGGCCCTCACTCGCAAGAGTAGTGCTTGGCAATGGACACAACAATGCCAAAAGGCATTCGACGAGGTCAAGCGAATGCTGACCAATGCTCCGGTACTGGTTTTACCAGATCCGACAAAGCCCTATGAGGTTGTTACTGACGCCTCATTGATTGGGATTGGGGCGGTCCTCTTGCAAGAAGGGAGACCAGTGGCATTTGAGAGTCGAAATCTCTCCCCGGCAGAGCAGCGCTATACGACGTCCGAACAAGAACTGTTGGCGGTCGTTCATGCGCTACGCACATGGCGATGTTATCTGGAGGGTGTGGACTTTGTGGTTACGACTGATCACTGTCCAAACACCTATTTCGCCACCCAAGCCACGCTTACTCGACGTCAAGCCCGATGGGCGGAACTCCTTAGTGGGTTCACCTTCGATATTTGATATCGAGCAGGTTCGACGAACCTGGCTGACCCCCTCAGCAGACAGCCGATAGGGGCAGCAACATGGCTAGACGACACAGAAGATGCGGCAGTATTTTCTGCTTGCTTCAGTGTCCTAGCAACGGCTCGAGTGAGTGAGATTACCTTCAGTGGTTTTCTGAAACGCATCCGCACAGGGTATCAGATTGACCCCTGGTTTCAGAACCCACGAAACACGAAGGAACTCAAGTAGGAGCACGAGCTCTGGTGGCGTAAGAATGAGATTGTTGTACCTCACGTGGGTAACCTGCGGAATGATATTCTGGAAGAAATGCATGCCGCTAAGTACGGAGGACACCTAGGGGTCAAGAAGACGAGGTGGGCCTTGAGTGATGTGTATTGGTGGCTGGGATTGGGCACTGAGGTCCAACAATTCGTGGCGCGATGCGATGCATGCGCACGAAATAAAACGGACACAAAGAGGCCTGGTGGTTTGCTTCAACCACTCGAGATCCCGAATGAACCTTGGGAGAGCGTATCCTTGGATTTTATCACGGATCTTCCCAAGTCGCGATGGCCATACAACGATCCTAGTGTTTGTGGATCGTCTGACAAAAATGGTGCATTTCGTGGCTACGACAACTGACGTATCTGCGGAAGATACGGCCAAATTGTTTGTGGCGCACGTTTTCCGCTTACACGGGTTACCACGTGTCTTGGTGTCCGACCGGGATCCGCGCTTCACAAGCCGGTTCTGGCAAGAAGTCACACGGACATTAGGGACGAAGCTCAAGATGTCATCGGCGTTCCACCCACAAACAGATGGGCAGACGGAACGAACAAACCGGACACTTGAACAGACGCTTCGTTCATTCATTGGCCCAACTCAGGATGATAGGGACGAGTCGTTGCCTGTCGTTGAATTCGCAATGAACAATTCAGTTCATGAAGGTACACGTGAGAAACCTTTCATTCTGAACTATGGTCGGCATCCCACAACACCTGCTACGCATGGGATCGGTGGATTGAAAATTCCTGCCGCTAAAGACTTTGTTGGCAAGCAGCAAGAAGCGCTTAAGTCTGCTCGCCATTGGCTGCAACTCTCTCAGCAGCGACAAAAGTCTTACGCCGACATGAAACGCCGGGAAGTCTCATTTGAGGTTGGAGACAAAGTTTTGTTGAGCACGAAGAACATTCGTCTCAAAATCCCTGGAGCACGAAAGCTGTTCCCTCGATGGATTGGGCCATTCGAGGTGATCAAGCGTGTTGGTGTGGTAGCCTACAAGCTTAAGCTACCTGATACACTACAGATTCACGACGTCTTCCACGTGTCTCTGTTGAACAAGTACGTTGCAGGGGGTAAGTACTTGCCGCCACCAACGATCGTCCTGGGGGAGGAACTATTTTATGAAGTCGAACGAGTGCTAATGCATCGTGATCGACAGCGCGGCCGCAAGACAGTACAAGAGTTCCTCATCAAGTGGAAAGGCTACGGGCCTGAACACAATTCATGGGAGCCAGAAGAGCATCTGACTGAAACTGCAGTTCAGTCATACATGGCAGATCTGGCCCGGCGAGCTGCCGCACAACCAGTGGATGGTGTTGACCCTGGTCGTAATGTGACACGGCGTGCTCGAAGCGCTCATCCTCAGAAGCACCCTAAGGCAACGGGGACGTTGCCACCCAGGGGGGGAGGAGTGTAACGCATGACCTACTCTGCCTAATCTACGGCTAACTTCCTAAGTCAAACATCGAGAGACTTCCTCGATGAGAAATGACGTTTAGGAAATTGGGAAGGTTGAGTTGGAGAAGAACATTGCTTTGGTTTTCCCAACCCTCAACCTGGAGGCTTGGGACTTTCCAACCCAACAAATGTGAAGGTTGGGAAGTTTTCCAACCCAACCAAATGAATGTGCAAGGTTGGATTTCCAACCAATGGGAAGTTGACAGTTGTTGTTACAATCCACACAAAGTTTAAAACAACCATACAATTGTGCTAAGTTGGGTTTTCCCCAACCAAACTTAAGTGCCACATAGGCTCCAAGCCTATTAGCTCCCCAACCATGGAAGCCATGGTTCGGAAGAGCCCCAAGGGGTATGATGGAAGGGGTTGGAGCTTTCAAGCTCATTCCTACTTCCCAACTCCAACTTACCAACTTGGAAATGGGATCTCTCTAAGTTACTTTGGCTCTCCTAACAAGCCCTCTTACACAACTGGACTTGTGTTATTTTCAAGGATAAGCTCACAAGAAGCTACTTATCTACCCAAGTTTCTTCAAGAGCTACAACTTCTCCTCTCAAGATCCTTTAAGCTTAGGCTAAGGCTTGATTATCCCTTGGTGGGATTAATTAGATAATTTCAAGCATTGTAACTTTGATTTTATATAAATTTTCAAGGAGGATTTACATTGAACCCGCGGTTGCCTGTTGTTTTAAGGGCCGTGGTTGTTACACGGAAACTCTGGCATGTTGTTTCATGTACCTTCGAGAACAGATATTATGAGAGGAAGGATGCGTATTTTCAGAGCTGTTCAGCTATTGTATTGGTATCAGGGGCTCTTCGTTGGGTGTGACTGCTGCTGTAACCTGTTTCACATCTTGTTTTCGCACGATTTTCGCAAAACGTGGGCGAGCTTGAAAGAACAGAAAACCTTTCAACCGTGTTGAAACGCGGGAACGATGC